AGTTGGTGCTATCGCACTGCCCTGGGGAACTCCTTCTCTTAGTTTTGCCAGTTTGCCGACGTGTCCATCAATTCTGAATCTGGCTCTGCGTTGGAAAAGAAAGTCTTTGATCCACTTGTACATGTTATGCACAACTCCTGCCTGTAGCAGTTTTAGTTGTAGGCTAAAATCCATATGAAAAAAATAGAGTACTGCAGGAAATGACCGGTCACCCTAGTATTGCCTGCCTGCTAGGGAAGGGGCATTTGATGTCCTGTAGGAGTCCATACGCCTGGTGCCGCCCCGCGCGCCCGCCAGACGTCCAACGTTAACGACCAGCTAACCCGTGGCCATCCAGTTCCTCAGCACGTTGACCCACCTTGAACTGGCTGGTGAATTGGGTTGCAGCTGTCCTGTATTCACATCGGGTTGCTCTCCGACTGGGCTGATGGACCTCAGAACAATGCACTTTGGCCCCAGGACTGTCACAGGGATCCGCTATCTCGCCTGTGCTCTTTAAAGTGTATACGAGCAAGATCGCAATCCTGGATGCACCAGAAGTTGGAAGGATACTGACTTTTGCGGATGATATACTTACATATAGGCAGGGGGAAGAGAGGGAACAAACAGCCCGGGAGCTATAAGCGACAGTAGACAGGGTGACTGAGTGGTGTACAGAAATGAGGGCTGACGTCCACCCGGAAAAGGCATCTGTTTTGTGGTGCTCTTTGGACAACAGAATCGTTAAAGCTAATGTCCCCAGTCTCACGATAGATGGTAGTAACGTCAACCACGGCCATCTTTAGCTATAAATAGACCAACTGGGTCAACGGGGATTCCCGTTCTTGTGCAAGAATTGAGTCCCTCAGTGTTAACAGTTTTTATTGAGGAGATGTATGCACAAATTAAACTAGTTTCATTAATTTTCTACATATTTTATAGAACTATACGTCATATTTAAGGTAAATAAGTGTGCCGAATAAATATAACAATAAAGGCTCTTACAGACAAACAAAAATGCTTTTGCTACAGTCAACATGAACATAAACATCAATAACTAAAAGTTGTTCCAGCAAAAGTAAAGAAATATCAGTGCTAACTCTTTGATTCTGAGGTATTCTTGCATCAGAGGAGCGGGGGGTGGGGGGGGGGGGGTGACATTTGTACTTTATCAAGTTTAGCTCATACAAATACTGCTATGAAACATACACATATCATACATAACATAAATATAAATAATTGATGGTTATTATTATTATTAGTAGACTACTACAACATATAATTATACTGTTGTTTAACAATTAGTAAACAAGCACAATCAGTATGAAATTGATATGTGCAATACTTTTTTCACCAAGAGTAGTTTTCTCAACAGTACTTATAGCACTACTAAATATGTATCCTCAAGGTACAAACAGCACAAACAAATTTGTCCAGTTTCATCTTGTTGGATGAAATCAATTCCTTACCATTGCGAATTTTTTGGTAAATATGCATAGGAAGTGGATGAACAACCAGAAGTTTCCGCAAGAGTTTACAGCCAGTGTTCGCGAAGCAAAGCTAAAGCCAGTTTACACAAATTAACACAGACCGTTATTTTGCAAATATGCAAAATAAGTCGATGAACTACCAGAAGTTTCCGCAAGAGTTTACAGCCAGTGTTCGCGAAGCAAAGCAATAGCCAGTTTACAAAAATTAACAGACCGTAGAACTGCAACTATGCAAAAGAAGTCGATGAACCACCAGAAGTTTCCGCAAGAGTTGGCGGTGCGTCAACAAAGAGAGCAAACTGAGGTATCTGGGAATTACATTTGACAGGAGCCTGTCATTTAAGGACCATGTGGAGAGTGTTGTGACGAGATGCCAAAAGGGATTTAGTGCACTTAAGACAATGGCTGCAATTGACATAGAGCAGAGAATGCTTTTCACGCTATATCAGCACCTGATCCTGTCTGTGGTTGATTATGGCCTGGGACTGCTTACCGTCTCCAAGAGTCAGATGGAGCGCATTCAGAACGCGGCTATGCGGGTCATTCTGTGTGTGTGTGTGTCTGTGGGTGGGGGGGGAGGGGGGGGGGTTGTTTGTCCCTTCTGTGTCTGAATGATGCTCACTGACAGGGGTCTGGAATTTAACAAAACCAGAAGGAAAACTGCTATTAAGAAATCTGGCAAACTTCTACACACCAAGATAGAAGAGGAGAGACTGTTGCCGGATTATCATACCCATTCCATTATCAGCATAATACATGTCACCTACAGTGCTAGCAGACAGCACACTTAATGGAAGGCAAGACGGACATACAATCCGACTGCTACTATCGGAGGTGGAACTCTCCGCTGGCTATTGAACATGATTGCTAAGCACATATAGGAATTCCCCGAGTGCTGTGATGTTAGTTCTTGAAACTCAGCTCAACAAGTATTTACTCATCTCCACTGTTTAGCAGGGATCGTGTTGCCTTTTCAAATAATATACAGAAAGCGCCTAGACTGAATATCAGTGGAACAAAAAGCACTCTTAGAAATGTGAATGACAGATGAACCTTAGGGGGTGGGGGCAACATGGCAACGCTGGCACGAGAGGCTCCTGATCATCAAAAGTGGTACCACTGTTTCATCCTTTGTCCTTATTCATCTGACTACACCACCGGGAGTCAGCTTATCTCACTTGGCATGACGCTCTTTTGCCATCGCGTCACCAAAACGCTCTTTCTATCTCGATCCTTCTTTCATAGATGAGTTGCCCATTAACTCTTCCTTTGGATATCATCATAGCTCATTAGGGCCTTGCGCTCTCTCTCTCTCTCTCATCTGCCGGAGACTCGCAAAGCACCCCATCCTAATGTTGAACACTGGGACATTCCACTGTTGGCCATGCGCTTCACTTTCCTACATCATGCAGCGCTTAGGGTTGATTCTATTGTTTGAGCTACTAAACCTGCACAAGACAGTTGGATTGAATGTCTCTAATTCGACAGAGTAGGCATGTACAGACAAGGACCAGTTTACAGTGAACTGTTCCAGTAACTCAAGACAGCATTAGAGATTAACAAAAATTACTTTATTTGGTTGTCTTTAGACGTAAATATGAGGCCATTGAAGTGTTTTCTGTTACTGTCTAGATAGCCAAAATCATCTGCCTTTAGTTGGAGACATGCTGGCAGTTGCACTTAGTTATGTAAACCAAGCTGTGAGATTGGGACTTGGGTCAAATTTCTGTTGTGGACAACTGTTTTTCCCTGGCAATTTTTCTTGACTTCTTATCTGGATAAGACGAATTTCTGAGAAGAACCATTTCTCAAGTCACAGGGAAGTTATCAGGTCTGCACTGTATATCCTAAATTAAAACAGAAGTTCAATATGGCCGTCCCTCTGTCACTTTTAATGTTAGACTGCACTGCAAATACAACAGCTAAAATCAGACATGGAACTCAGTGGGCTCAGACTTGTCACCTCACAAGGCCACTACCAGGTTTTTCAGTTGTCACATTCACCTAGAGGTCGTGAAACCAGCCTGTCTACAGTAACCTGTTGTAGAAACGTAGTTTCTAGTTACTGGCTATGTCTGTGCCTATAAAGCTTTCAGTAGGCCTACATTTGAATACAGTTCACTACAAACAGCATTTGGGGGTGTTTCCCTGTGATGCAAACAGCCTTTTAAAGCCATTGTGACTTCAGACTTCCCACAGCATCAAAGTAAACGGTCACGGGTCATACCATGAATCACCTGGTACAAATATTTAGGTGTTGGGCAATGTGTTCCATTCACAAATGTTTGTGTTTACTGATTACTAATGAAATTTCATGTTGCAAAAATGCAGTTTTACAAAGTTACTGACCTGCGTATAGTGAATGTTTTTTTTGGGGTAGACAGTAATTGGGGGGAGGGGGGAGAGATTCCCATGGGTCCGTGGCGCATTTGTTTTGCGTTTTTAAAACAGAAAGGGTGATGGATGATCTAAAATTCTCTCACAAACAAAATGCACCAATTCAATTAGGTGTTAGAATAATAATTTTAAACAATCTTGCAACAACGACAATTTTACACATACAATATATAGGGAACAGATACAGTGAGAAAACCATTTAGCTATTCGACAGTACTACTAGAAAATCCTCTGAAACTGACAATGCAGACCCAAAAATACCTGAAAAATTGTGAATAGCGGAAAACAAAGGAACACCAAAAGGCAGTAAAATAGTTGGATGAGGAACACTGGGCAGGAGTTTCGTTCATCCGAATCTGCAATTACGTTGTGTTCGTTTAAAGCAAGGCTGCAATATTTGCACCTTTCAGCCAGTACACCTGTGGGCATTTTTTGACTAGGTTAGCCTTCACAGTTAAGTTTCATGGGACACTTTAATCTCATTATTGTGTGGTCAACTTTGTTTCCCATGTCACAGGTGGTGCCCCATATCAGGCCTGTCAGGAAAAGCCAACAAATAAAGCTGATCAGCCCTCAGAAGAAGGCAGGGGCAGAATATGAACATTTCCCGCCATTCAGGGTTTTCATAAATGCAGAGCCAATACATGGTGCTCTGGTACTAGGCTCACCTAAGGAATCGTCACGTCCTGCTCATGTCTAATCAACCTCACTTCCATACATTAAACATTTTATTCATTATGGGCTGTCTTTTGCAGCCAACAATAGGCTGCCTACTTTGCTTCTTTTGCATGTTAGGGGTAAGAGTTTGAAAATAATGCTTACAGGGATCTAAAAGCAAGTCTGGTTTATATGAATAAAATAACAAGATGATGCTTTGGTTTTATACAGTATCTTTATTAAATACACAGCCATTCAACTATAGTTCACAAAGTATACATGAAAATATAAACAGAAATCCCTGTTCATAAAAAACAAATTACATAAAACTTGAGGACTATAAAAATGAGCTGCACGATTCTATTAGTTCACTATATGGATATCAAATGACCACACACCCAGAAACAAGCTGACTGTGTGTGTCCAGACATAGGTAACAAATATATATAGATCTCATTCATCTATGTTTTGTAGCACTTAGGACTGCTCCTCTGCAAGCCTGGCAGCCTTTTCAACAACTTCTTCAATGCTGCCCACCATGTAGAAAGCTACTTCTGGCAAATGATCCAGCTCTCCTGTAAAAAAGATTCATTAAAACATTTCTTAAATGCATAGAAACATCTTAACCTTTTATCAATTTAAATCAAACATATAAGTACTTGAGTAAAAAGTTAAACTGCCCCAACATGCTGAGAAAAGAAATACAATCTATAATACAATCTGGAAATAAAGTATACTATGCACTTCAACATCTGCTAAAGTCAAAGTGTTGGTTTCACAATACCAAGATCAAAATATATCAAACGTCCATAAGACCAGTCATTTTTTATGGCTCTGAAACGTGGGGCACAACTAAAAGAGATGAAGCCTTATTACAGGTTTTCAAAAATAGTTGTACGATCTTTGGACCCATCAAAGGTGCAAACAGCAGGGAATGTAGAGAGAAGCAATAATGAAATTCATAATCTGTGTAAATCACCACTGCTCACTGGCATCATGAGAGCTAATAAACAAATAGTTGGGGCATATTGAAAGAATGTCAGATGAAAGATGTAAAAACTGAATACACAAGGGAGATGAATGACCACGAGGCAGACCAAGAAGAAAATAGAGAGAGAATGTTCAGACGACCTGCAAACAGTGTAAATTACTAAACTTGTATCATAAATGAATGAACAGAGTCCAAGAATTAGATAACACACTACATGGGACATGCTCCAGTCCGTCAGTCAAATAGTTTCTATTATACTAATGGTGTATCTACGCTAACAAAACCCACTGACCACTATGCTTCTCTTCATACTTTTTGTAAATCATAACTCAGAGCTTAAATACACATCAGCACAAGAACTAACGAAAATAAATACACTGACTCACCATTAATCAACATCTTGAATCCCTTGATGGTTTCCTTGAGTGGGACATATTTGCCTTCAGAACCAGTGAAGACTTCTGCCACCTGGAAGGGCTGGGACAAGAACTTCATCATCTTGCGAGCTCTGGCCACTGTCAGCTTGTCTTCTTCTGACAGCTCATCCATACCCAAAATAGCAATGATGTCTTGAAGTGACTTGTAGTCCTTTAAATATATGCAAATACAAGACTATCAGCAAAAAGCACAAAGCTAAAAGTAAGCTAACTTCACAGATTTCAACTAATGATATCTGAGGTGTACATAACTACCAACTTCTGGTCAACAAGCACACCCAGTTTCTCCTGTCATCTATGAAGCAAATGTACCTGAAGAATCTTTTGAACAGCTCTGGCAGTGGAATAATGTTCCTCACCCACAACGTTGGGATCCAAGATACGTGAGTTGGAGTCCAGAGGATCCACAGCTGGGTAGATACCCAATTCTGCAATTCCTCTAGACAGCACAGTGGTTGCATCCAGATGAGCAAATGTGGTGGCTGGAGCAGGATCTGTCAAATCATCAGCTGGCACGAAGATAGCCTGCAAACAAGACATGTGATAACTGCAGTTTTTTAACCAATATATTACATTTCAATCAATAGCCTGAGCTGTGGGTTGTAGGGGCATCATGACGGAAGCATCAGTAAGCAAAAGTGATCCAATGCCGAACCTCAGAATAGACAACTGTGAACTATCGGAATAATTTCATGTTATCATATTTTCCCACCTTTCTCTTCAACACTTTTTATCAACTTTCTTGCAGGATCACCTTTGACAAAGTCAGGTGCAAGTGACCTGCCCAAACCAGGCAAGCTTTTGTTATTTTATGACTTACACAATTAGTTTTTGATGGCATAACTATGTTTACTGTCTACAATGAAATGAAGGGTTCTGTGCTACCCATTCAATTCCTGGATCCTCTTTTTCTCTCTCAGTGAGATTCCAACTTGTATGAAACATATTAAATGTGCTACAGAAACAGCGCCCTACAGAAACAGCGCCCTATGCACTCCCAAAGCTTTACTGTTTCTCAACTAGCCTTACGATTTACAGAAAATTACTTTCTAGAACAACATCTCAGCAAACTACTAAATAATTTATAGTAAGTACGCAATTCAATATAAAAATTAGGTAAAAACTTATTTACAAAGTGTTTCTAAAGCATTTTATTTAAATCAGGGTTCATAGCGAAATTTACCAATCAATTTCAAGGCTTTTCAAGGTCTTTTTCAAGGTCTCCTTAGTTTTTTTCAAGGTTGTCTCGGTGTAATACTGAAACAAGATTTTTGCCTTGTTCAAGGGTGTACTGAGCACACAAGGTACTTCATTTGTGCCACATGTGTTGGTATACCAGCACATATATCATCATCATGTAGCATTTCCTTTGTCCTGACAAAAAAACCTCGGTCTCTCACCAGCTCTCCCGCCTCATGTACTTTTTTTATACTCAAGGAGTCACTTATATCCTGTGCCCATCTTCGTGTTGGTCGGCCCCTGAGCTTGATATAGTGTTTGAAATTTTTTTTTAAGGCTTGGTGGTAGAGGGCAGCAAACTGAAGTCCTGTCTGTTCTGGACCTGGTACCTGAGAGGGTTAGGGGGGAGAGAGAGAGTCATGAAGAGAGAGGAAGACACATGCTGAGGTAGGCTGGGAGAGACAGTGTAAAGATGGATAGATGAAGGTAGAGAAAAGAAGGAAAATAAGTCTGGGGAAGGAGGAAAAAATGAGAGGGAGGGATGGAGACATGATGAGGAAAAGTGGGGAAGGGACAGCGAAAGACAGAGAGGGAGACAAATACAGAAAGAGGGAATGCAGATACAGAGATCGGCAGATGAAAAGAGAAGGAAAAAGGGAACGAAACAGAGATATGGAAGGAGGAAAAAATGACAAAGAGTTGAAAGAAGGGAGACAGAAGGAGAGAGAACGGACAGGGTGAGAAGTAGATGCAAGCAGAGAGAGATGTAGACATAAAGGAGAGAGAGACAAAGGGACAGCACAGAGAGGCAAGCAGACAGAGGGAGAGAACCAAAGAAAGAGAAAAAAGGCAGAGCAGGAGAATGGGAGGGAGGTATACAAAGAGGAAGTGATGAAGGGAGGCAAACAGACATAAAGCAAGAGAGAGAGAGAGAGAGAGAGAGAGAGGTGGGTAAGGAAGGCAGTGACAAACACAGATTAAGAGAGAGGGGCAGGAAGGGAGACAAGATACATCAAAGAAAAAAAAAACAGCCACATACTCCCCCCCCCCCCCACCCCACACAATTTCAAGTGTAGTGGACACAACCACTAGGAAAAGATAGTTATGGGGCAAATAAATACGTAGATGAACCAGTAAAAAATGGGGAAAGGGGGGGGGGAGAGAGAATGAGAGAGGGGAGCGGGTAAGGAAATCTAGAGAAAATGAAAAGACAGGATGGAGAGGAGACAAAGAAGAGATGGGACAGGAGAAAGGGCAAGGAAAGGAAGAGAGGAAGAATGGAGAGAGAAAGGAGAATAGTAGAAGATCAAAGGAAAGAGAAGGGGTGAGAGAAGAAAGGTAAGACACTGTTTTGGGGGTGGGGGGGGGGGGGGGGGGAAGAACAATGAGTGCCAAAAATAGAATTATGAAATCTCTAAGTGAGGCCACTTTTCCGGTTCCTACCCTCTCCCAATGTGAATGTGGCCGTGGTCCAAAAACAACAGTGCTAACCCCTACTGCCCCTTGCTTGTCCTATCTGTGTGTGACAACAATAATTCAATTTCTTACACTTAAGGCTGGTGACCTGAGAGCCAAGGTCATTTTATAAAGAAAAAAAAAAGTTCAGGGCATCCCAACCCACCACTGGTGGAAAATAGAGAAGTTTACCCACACACATAAATAGGTCAGACACATAAATAGGTCAGGGCAGCAGTGGACTTCATCTTATTTCTGGTTTTCCAATTACAGAAAGGAGGGGAGAGAGGGGGTGGTGGAAAGTGGTGTAAAAGGCTGAGGTGGTAAGGGTGAGACAGAGGAGGTGAGAGAATAAAGTTTGAGAAAAAAAAGTGGGAATGAGACAGGGAGAGAAAGAAGGGAGTAAGAAATAAGATGAGATATAGAGGAAAGAAGGTAGCAGGAAGGGGTGCACTCCCTCCCCTAGGTGTCATCAATGTGGGAGGATTAAAAGGATTGGGGGGGGGGGGGGGGGGTGACGGCAAATGTGTTTTTAAAAGAACACATATATTTAATGTGTGGGAGGGGGGAATGGTGGACATGAAATGTTCTGCACTAAGCAACACATAACCTTCTACACCAACTGAAAGTATGGAGAAAGAAAGAGAGAGAGAGAGGGAGGGAGTGAGGGAGAGTGGCAAATACAAAGAGAAAGAGAGAGAGGAAAGCAGTGACACAGACAGGCAGAGAGTGAGGAACAGGTAGGACAAAATGTGAGGGGGCGGGAAGGGAGATGGACAGAGATTAAGGCCGCTAGGAAAACACATCAAAAGAAAATATCCACCATGTTGACACAGAATGGCCCCCCCCCCCCCCCAATACAACTTCCTGTGTACTTGAGTTGCTAGGAAGAGTTATGGAGCCGCACATTTACTAAACATTTAAACAAGAAATAAAATAGGAAAAAGGGGGAGGGGGACAGGAAATGAGAGAGTAAAAGGAAAGATAGAGAGAAAGAGAAGAAGATGAAGATCAGAAGGGAGGGTTAGAGACAATGCAGGAGACGGGAAGGAAGGAGCAATAGGTAGAAGAGTGAAAGAGGGAGGGAAGAGAGAGAGAGGGGTGAGACAACAAAAGAGGGAATCTCAGGGAATTACAATACTGATCGCCAAACACACTGTAAAGATAAATCCAGGCCAAAAATAGAACTGGGAAATCCAGCTGCAGTCACTTTGCTTAGCCCCAATGCCATCTCTAATTAATAGAGAAGGCCGTGCTTAGCTCCCACCACGGCGACTCTATTTATAAATACAACTGAACCGAGCCCCACCATCTCCCAATGTGGCCATAAACGATTTATACTGTTCATTTTGCCCGACTGGCTAGAAACAAAGGCACACACACACTCGCGCAAGACGGAATCTGCTACTTCCCGCCCCATGCCACACTGCTGCTGTCTGCATGTATTCATGATCTGCAACACAGCCCGCCCTCCCCTGGCCTTTAACAAGCCATTTCGGCTGAAAATAGCCAATAATCAGCTGCCCTCACACCTGAAACGACCATACAACGAAAGTAGCCAAAAACTAGCCAAAAGGCCAAAAAAAGCCAAATGGCTCCCCCAAAATTGCCTGTGCTGAAAAACACAGGATTTCTGACGATTTCATTGCCGCAGTCAAAATTCACGGCTTTTCAAGGTCGGAATGTCTTTTATAAGCTAAAAATCAAGGTTCAAGGTCAACGAAAAAAATCCCGGTAATTTCCCGATTTCCCGGTCCACTACGAACCCTGTTAAATGTGCTTTCTTTCAACCTTATTATCATGCAGACAAAAGGACTTCCACCTAAAATGGGGACAGGCATGGCAAAATGTTAAGCTTCAAAGTTATTTCTGTTTCAGACAGCAGTTTCCACGAATGGATGGTAGTCTACAGTTTCGCTGCCCGAGTTTAGTGTTTTGTGCAGCCCCATGAGTTGTGTTTTCTTTGTGGAACGTCTTTTTTGTGAAGCGGTTGTGACATGGTATTCAATATGGTCAGTAGCCGGTTTATGTTTGAGCTGGTGAAATACCTTATGTAATAATTCTATGTGGGTATAACCACTTTATCGTGCCCGACTACTTCCAACAATGACAAACTGCATTTCGGGCGGCGACTGTTAGCTTTGGCGCTTCTAACAACTAAGAGATGTATTTACTGCATGCGCATATTTCTTGATGTTCCAGGACTAATTATTTGTTCACCAGTTTTTCAGATGCAACACTGAAGGATATTTCATTTGATTTTTCACTGGCACATGAATAGAGCAAGTATGGGGGAAACCCCATTGCAGTGAAGGTGAAACTAAGACTAATAAAGTAAAAACGTCACCAGAATGGAGGCCCTCTGTGGAAATTTCACCTTGCACCCAATCCCTCCTAAATGTTCATGTCCAGTCTGTCTAGTGTCCCGCATTCACTGTTTTTCATCAGCATTCTTTCTAAGCCACAGATGTTCAAAACAAATTAAGCATGGCATTTTCTGAGTCCTGATGCTATCTGTCAGCCACTTTGCTTCAATGGTTAAATTTTGTGGACTGTAGTATTCCAAAAATTGTTCAGTAAAATGTAAGTTCATCGTTTCTTTTGTGATAATGAAATCTTCCAAGACTCGTATTCTTTCATGACTGCAAAAACCAATCTTAAAATGTTAATAAATGCAAATTTGCATCAAATATCAGTGCTGTTTAACCTTGACCTCCATAATGCAACAGCTAATCTCCTGACTTCTATAAATAAATCACCCCCTTCCCCCAGTTACACAGCTAAAGTATTCAAATTTCCTTTCTAATGTAAATCTGTAGCTGGTTGTGCGCATTTTAATTATTCAAAGAAAGATTTTAGCGTCACCTAAATTAAATGTCATACAGCTATTTAAATTACTGTCAATGCGTCACATAAAACATTTTATACATGTGAAACTAACAAGTCTACTCATAGACTGATCTGGAAAACAAACATTCACAATAAAAAAGGAAAGAGAAAGTGATGCAGGAATAAAACGTACCTCCGAACCAGCTTGAGTAAACCTGAAAATGTTGTCAATGAAGAGCAACACATCTTGGCCTTCCTGATCCCGGAAGAACTCAGCAACAGTCAAACCACTCAAAGCCACTCGGGCACGTGCACCTGGAGGTTCATTCATTTGACCATACACAAGAGACACCTGTTAAAAAAAAATTTTAAGAAAGAATCAAGCAATAGTTGGTTATACATGACTGCCTAACTGCCTTTAATATACCACTTTTGCTGTGTAGGCAGGGGTGTCTGAGCCTGAGGATTGACAGCTCAATTGCTAGTGCTGTCACCACGACTGTGCAGGTGAGGATTTTATTTTGCCCCTGACAGAAAAAATGTAGATGTAGGACACAAAAATATGTAAATCACCAAAAGTGTTAATGTACAAAGTTGGCCCAAAAAAACTAGAGGACAGCAGCACCTTCTTCACTCTGAAAAAAAAAACCACTGCAATTCTCATTTATCTTAGTACCCGCAATTTAGTTAACAAAAATAGCTATATCTTTCTTTTTCAGGATATGGACTTGTTCCCTGTGTGCGTTCGAAGGCTCTATTGTGGGGGGGGGGGAGGGGGGGGCTGTCTGCCCACAAGCATGCCGTAAGAGCCGGCTAATTGGGAGCATCCTTTGGTTGAAGTCGAAGTGCATCTGCTTGAGAGCCAAAGAACTAACAATCTGCATACAAATGAGCCAGATCTGTAAAACGGATGCACACACAACATTCAGGTTCTGGAACAGGACTGCAGTAAAAAAAAAAAAAAAAAAAAAGGGATGAACGACCAGAACTTTCCGCCAGAGTTAGCTGGTAAATGCGAAGTAGATGTGGGCTTTAACTTTCCAGCCTTTATATAGAGGAATTAACTCAAAAAGTTCTAACACCGTAAAAGCAATTAATTTCCTAAAATAGTTAAAATGTTGTACAAATGTCTAAATAACTGGAAAAAGTTCACCTTTAGCAAAACAGATTATGTATAATGGAAACAGATTTAATTGTTCATAATATAACATTTGTGAAAAACGGATTCCACTTGAGCACACTTTTTACAAAGTCAAAGAAGAACTACCAGAGATAAATTGTTCTTCACAAAAAAAAAAAAACTGCCACGTCTGCGACTGCGTTAAATTATCTACACTGTAGCAATCAATTATGCAAACTATAAATTAGTTCTAGCTAATTTCAGCATTGTTTAAACAGCTGCTGTTGAAACTGAGGGAGAAGGTAATGGTACATGCTAACACACTGTCATATTCAAATGATGACATTTAAAATTTCAGCCAGCCATTTTATGTCATGAAATCCCTCAACAGTATTACCTGTACTAAACAGTCAGGCTATATGCTCTAATATTCCTATAACTGACAATTTCATTAACTAACCACATCGGGACATTCCAATAACAAGATTATTTTAAGACAAAACACTGAAACAGGACATCAAAGAAAATTGGCTCAGTCCAAGGAAGGTACCCTCAGTTCTTCAGGGAATCCACAGAATTGCATCAATGCCAACCCTTCTGAATATGAATTAAATACTATTCACCCCAAAACATGGAACTTGAATAATATACATTTCACAAAGTTAAAACGGTCAAAGATTTGTTGTTGTTGTTGCTCAGTCCAAGGAAGGAACCCTCAGAGTTCATCAGGCAATCCACAGAATTTCATCACTGCAAAGCCCTACTAATGCAGAACATGACAAAAATACCCCAAGCAGTTTATAATGTAAGCACTACAGCAGGCCAAGGGAAATATTTTGCTCAGTCCAAGGAAGGTACCCTCATAGATTTTCAGGGAATCCACTGAACTTCATCACTGCAAAACCATCTGAATAAATAATTTTTCAGCACACACAAAGCAAACAACATATCTTTCCCAGTCAAAAGAAAGTACACACATAGATCAGTAAATCCACAGAAATTCATTTTTCATTTTTGCAAAAATGAATACATTAATATTAAATATGAATGAAGTACTATCTAATTATTAACCTAATCATAACAGTGAGCCAAACAAAAATGTTTGCATTTTTATTTTTGCTCAGTCCAGGAAAGGTAGGTACTCTCATAGATCATCCAAAAAGACAAAGAAGAAGAATTAAAAGAAAGTGTCCTTCATAAAAGAAATGTGACACATCCGAGACTGTCATGAGCTGTCTGCACTGTAGCAATCAATTATGCATACCAACAATTTCTAGCTAACTGCAGCAGTGATTTAAACAGCTGGTGTTGAAACAGGGAGAAGGTAATGGCACATCCTAACACAATGTGGCTATCCTCTGAATAACGGTCCTTAATTACTGAGGCTAAGAAAATAATTCAACAGGGCCTCAATCTTAGGTAAATTGCGAACTCCTTTGCGGGAAGCACTCCTCCGAAAAACGGTGCTCAATCATCAAGGTTGTAAACATACGCTAACAGGACGTTAATGATATGTAAAAAAAAAAATTTTTATTTCGGGCAACTATGCGGCCAGATCATCAGCTGCGACACTGGGTGCCAGGTTCAACGTCTCCCCTGGGTCCTAGCTGAGCTTAACTGCTCCCCTGGGTCCTAGGTTTAAGCTTAAGGCAAATAGTATTGCAATGACGACACTGCCACCAGAATCTGTCACAACAGTCCAACTGCAACATACCAAGGTGGGACTTGTTTACTGCATATTTAGCGAAGTTTTACTGGCGGCAGTCACAAAAATTGGGGTCCTGTTAGAGTATTTTCTTAGCCTCGATAATTTTGGACCGTTTTTCAGAGTAGAGCCAACACTGTCATATTCAAATGATGACATTTTAAATCTCAGCCAGCCATTTTATGTCATGAAATCCCTCAACAGTATTACCTGTACTAAACAGTCAAGCTATATGCTCTAATTATACCTATAACTGACAATTTCATTAACTAACCACATCGGGACATTCCAATAACACCATTATTTTAAGACAAAACACTGAAACAGGACATCAAAGAAAATTGGCTCAGTCCAAGGAAGGTACCCTCAGTTCTTCAGGGAATCCACAGAATTTTATCAATGCCAACCCTTCTGAATATGAAACATGAATTAAATACTATTAACCCCAAAACATGGAACTTGAATAATATACATTTCACAAAAACGGTCAAACATTTTTTGTTGTTGCTGCTCAGTCCAAGGAAGGAACCCTCAGAGTTCATCAGGCAATCCACAGAATGTCATCACTGCAAAGTCCTACTAATGCAGAACATGACAAAAATACCTCAAGAGTTTTATAATGTAAGCACTACAGCGGGCCAAGGGAAATATTTTGCTCAGTCCAAGGAAGGTACCCTCATAGATTATCAGGGAATCCACTGAACTTCATCACTGCAAAACCATCTGAATAAAATAACTCACTCACACACAATAATGTAAACAACATATTTTTCTATTCTAGTTAATTTCAGCAGTGATTTAAAAAGCTGGTATTGAAACAGGGAGACGGTATTGGCTCGTGCTAGCACAATGTTGTATAAACACTGATGCCATTTTAAATCTCAGCCAGCCAATGTCAGAAAATCCCCAGACAGTTTTAAGCGTTTGTTAATGAAGCTAAAGAGTGAGGCTATATGCTCATATTATGCCTTTAACTGACATTTCCAATTACTAACCACATCATGTAATTCAATAACACTGTTATTCTAAGACAAAACACTGCAAACCCTTCTGTCTCTAGGGCAAAGCATTGAACTGAACTGTTTATTCAAAGGCCAAAATGCTGAAAAGTGGCGATTATTGCGGGGCCAGTGGTTCAAATCCCAGCCTAGAAAGGTCATTAATACAATATAATTGGCAGGTGATGGGTGGGTCACTGGTTAGACGTCTAGCGGTCAGATTTGGCCTAAGGGCTAATTTAAGGTAACCATCTTGCGGTAAATTATCTGATATCAAGATCATCAGATTTCAGTGTAACATCTTATATGAGCATTTACTATTGTAATCTAGGCAGTAATTTTGTATGCATAATTGTCTCTTAGCCTAATATTACTTACCACAGATAATGAAAAAATGCTGTTAACTTTGCTCACATGCATTCAGCCACAAGATACCTTAGAATTGTTTCTGCAGTCTAAACAATTACCTTGGATGTATCGTCTGTCAGACTGATGACTTTGGTTGTGATCATCTCATGGTAGAGATCATTGCCTTCACGGGTCCTCTCTCCAACGCCAGCAAACACAGAGTAGCCACCATGAGCTTTGGCAACGTTGTTAATCAGCTCCATGATGAGTACAGTCTTTCCAACACCAGCACCACCAAACAAGCCTGTGTTTTCAATAATCAGTCATACTGTTAGACTACTACTCTTGAAGTCTTGAGTATGTGGTAATATTATCAACTTAGTGAACCCTGGCATAAAAGCCACACACAGTGATCACTACTAAGTGAACAGAGCAAATACACTTGTACATCACAAAAACACTCTGATATGTCACAAGACATCCTTGTATAGTTGAACTGATGTATTCAGTGACCAATTATTTGAACTTAGTGTGCAAGTGACTAGATAATTAGGGCTACAATAAATAGATTTTTACATGCTGACATCTGTAACAGATTCACTACTATTTATTTTAGTTTACTGATCTCTGAGACAACTTGGGAAAAGTCAACCTGACAACTCTATGGTCAGGATCAACATAAAATAGCTACTGTTCAATCATCTTCTTCTTAGCGCTCACTGGCTGTAAGCTAGGTTCAGGTTATTTATCCACTTCTGGACACTTGTTCTAGATCTCGCTTACCTAACATAAAAAAAATGTGTGATCTACAGATTCTGAACATACCAATTTTGCCTCCTCTGGCATATGGAGCCAACAAATCTACAACCTTGATGCCTGTCTCTAAGATTTCCTGTTGTACACTCATTTCTGAAAATTCTGGGGCTTCCTGGTGGATGGCAGCATAACTGGTAAAACAAAATAATCATATAATTAGCAGTGTTCAGCCGTGGGTCAAAGAAAATAATTCAGATTACATTTCTGCTCAGTCCAAGGAAGGTACCCTCACTCATCATCAGAAAGTCCACAGAATTTCATCTCTGTAAAAATCACAACAAATGGAGAGCACAAAGACAATGGTAATAACTGTTAATATAAAAACCACAACATTGTATCAAACAAAATATTTTCTCAGACCAATCAGGCTACCCTATCCTTATAGACCACTTGGAAATGCACATGTCATGTTTTGAATATCCCCCCCCCAAAAAAAAAAAATTTATTATAACAAAATTAAACAACTCAATATTAAATATGCATGATGTACTTACTATCTAATTGTTTAATCTAATCATAACAGTGAGTCAAAAATTTTTTTAAAGCTATTTTTGCTCAGTCCAAGGAAGGAACCCTCACAGATTATCAGGGAATCCACAGAATTTCATCACTGCAAAGCCACATAAATGCAGAACAGGAACAAAAAATTATCTTTGCAATTAATTGTTAATATAAACACTATTATCAGGAATCCACTGAACTTCATCACTGCAAAAATCTCTTCCACCATTTAACTCACTGAGGTGTTGGGAGGGGAGGAAGGGAAGAGAAGATGTAAGGATCATTTGTGCGCTTTTTATAATGCATTATATAAGCTGGTGTTCATTGATGTTAGGTCACCCCTGATAATGATGCTCCATCTCCATTTTGCATGATCTTCCCCTTGCTGTGTTACTATATTTCTTCAGCGTTCCTCTCTGTGGCAGTTGGTACTCCGGCATTCTTGCCAGGTGGCTAAATCATCTCATCTGTTGTTATTTAATGAACAGTATGACTGGTTTCAGCCCTAGTCTGCAAAAATCACCTTAATAAAATAATTATATTTTAGCAGCACCAACACAATAAAGCAAACTATATTTCGCAGTCCAGGGAAGGTACCCTGATAGGGCATCAGTCAAACCATAGAAATTCACCTAAACTAATCATAACACAGGTAAAATTAAATATTTTTGCTCAGTCCAAGGAAGGTACCCTCACAAATTATAGGGAATCCACTGAACTTTCATCACTGCAAAAATAAACATATGAAACTTAGAATATGACTAAAAGACAACAATTACCACAACATAAGGATTTGTAATTTGAAAGTACAGTAACACAAAACACTTCACCAAACTTTAACATAAGTGACCAAATGTTCATGATCTTTAAACATGATTCAATAACTGCTGAAAATTTAGAGAATAATAACGTAACTGCCATAAAATTTCCAGCTGATGTAGCCAACTGTTTTTCTCAGCCCAAGGAAGAAGCCCTCACTAATCAGGAATTCCAGTATTTCATCACAGCAAAAACCACGAACAGAATAATTTTCTAAAAGATTTTTTAGCAAGGACCAACAGGACATCAAAGAAGGTACGCACAGTTCATCAGGGAATCCACAAAATTTCATCACTGCAAAGCCTTACTAATGCAGAACATGAGCTTAAGAAATCTTAACTGTTGATAATGTAAAAACACTACAGTGGGTCAAGGGGAATATTTTGCTCAGTCCAAGGAAGGTACCCTCATAGATTATCGGGGAATCCACTTAACTCTCATCAATGCAAAGCCACACAAATGTAGAACATGACTAAAAATATCTCTCTGAAATTGTTCATATAAACACTACAGTGGATCAAGGAAAATATTTTGCTCAGTCCAAGGAAGGAACCCTCATGGTGCATCAGGGAATCCACAGAATTTCATCATTGCAAAACCTTACTAATGCAGAACATGAGCTTAAGAAATCTTAACTGTTGATAATTGATAATGTAAAAACACTACAGTGGATCAATGAAAATATTTTGCTCAGTCCAAGGAAGGAACCCTCATGGTGCATCAGGGAATCCACAGAATTTCATCATTGCAAAACCTTACTAATGCAGAACATGACCCCAAAAATCCTCAAGCGTTAACCCTTTCGCTGCTACGTTCCCGGAAATAGTTGTCCTCCCTGTGCTAAGCAATGGGAAAAAAAAAGTCTCTGCTGTGCGCAATACTTTTCTATCCTCTAAACGCAAAAGATGCGTCCGCGGTGAGGGCTATGTTTTGTTCACCTAAAAAATTTTACCCTGGGGAGTTGTGTGGTTGGTCCGAGTGGTGACAAGTCAGAGGCACGATGGTGCCCCACAAACTTGACTAACGGAGGGGGGGGGGGGGGGGATTAATGGGAGGAACTGTTCCCAGTACGTATCCCAAAATTTGATTGCCGAATCTACCACGGCTGCCACTTTAATCATATTTACTTGTAGTCACCATGTTATTACATACCAAAATAATAAAAAAAAAATATTCATTCATAATAATATACTCAAGTCGTCCGATGCTGAAAAGTAGGAGGAACTCAAAGGAAAATTTACAATTAATAAATAAAAAAAAAAAAAAAAAAAAAAAAAAAAAAAAAAAAAAAACTTTGGGGGTTGAACACACGACCCTCCGATTCTAAGGCGAACGTGATACCATTTACACTATGCTACCTCTGGACATATTGCGCTGTGTAAATGATCATAATGAATGATGTGCGCAGACTATCAATAATGTGTCCAAGTTTGTAGTCTATCGCCGCCTGCATGAGCACTGTTGTCTAAGAAATGTTTGAGATTCTCAACAATGGTAAAAATATGTCCCTTGACATTATTTTACGGGAGTTTTTAGCAAACAGTCTTTGCTCAAGTACTCTATTTTGAGTTTCTTTGTTCTAAGCATTAGCAGACAGACAGAAAAAAAATTAGTTCGTCCGAATCTGTGTCTGTCCATCGGCAAAGACGAGAAATTTTAGTGACTTAACTGTTTGAATTTACAGTAGCAGAAATACAGATAGAGCTGGAATCATCAAAATTATGCACTACTGGTTTCAAATCATTGGTTCATCAAGATAACTGATCAATTTATTGCCGTTTTGATGGCGCTTCATTGTCGCTGCTCTCCGATTCCGACGATGAGGACGTCGGACAGGCAAACAGCTTTTTTTGGACACGCCGGTTTCAGCAGTCGATACTGATGGCCTAGTCAAATCTTCTTGTTCACTGTCAGAAGTACACATTTCAAAGTCATCGTCGCTATCACTTTTGACAGAAACTCCATCAATTCTTCATCAACTTTAACAAGTTTTCTTGCCATTTTGTACTAAGTGTAGAATAATCCAAAAGCACAAATATATATCAGGGCACAAAATACACAGATCACCGACCACGCTGTCACGGTAAACAAAGCAACGGGCTATCGCAAAATGCAGAAAACACGCCTTAAACACACCTAAAAGTACGTGCCAGTGCTTTTAATCATATGTAAATGGGTCAGTTTTATCTAAATATAGCTAATGTATATTGCCCTTCAGCCAATTAAATACGAGGGTAACAGAAATCTGTAAGAAAAGTCCAAAAACGGCTTAGGACGTCCATAGCACTGGGGGTCAGGAAAAAAAATAACGTCCAAAGACGGGCGTAGCAGCGTACGGGAAATCGGGAAAAGACGTCCATAGCAGCGAAAGGGTTAATAATGTAAACACTACAGTGGATCAAGGAAAATATTTTGCTCAGTCCAAGGAAGGTACCCTCACAGATTATCAGGGAATCCACTAAACTTCATCACTGCAAAATAATTTTCAATAATTTTTAAGCATAAAAACAAAAATAAAGCAATAATACACTGCTTTATTTTTGTTTTTCCCAGCCCCAGGAAAGTACCCTCGCAGAGCATCAGTAAATCCATAGAAATTAAGGGGGGGGGGGGGGGGGGGTGCGCACGCAAAATAAGCACACTGATTTTTAATATGAATGAAGTTTATCTAATTATCAACCTAATCATAAAACTGGGTTTTAAAAAAATGATTTCATTTTTGCTCAGTCCAAGGAAGGTACCCTCACAGATTATCAGGGAATCCACAAAACTTCATCAATGCAAAAATTACATGAAATTTAGAACATAAATAAAATAGACTACTAATTAGCAACACATTTACAATTCTGAAACAGTTATACAAAACACTTCACTAAACTCTAATGGAATTTAACAAATGTTGCAAAAGTAATGACCTTCTAAACAGTATAACCTGACAATTAGCAAGTTTGTAGTTGCCACCCAATTCCTGCAGTGCTCCAACATTTCCAGCTCAGTGTAACAACTGTTTGCTTGGTCCAAGGAAGGTAGCCTCCCATTTAATCAGGGATCCCCCACAAGATTTCATCAGTCAAGATCAATATATGAAAACAACTGGAAGTGCTTTAGAAACAATTGTCACCATAAGTTACAACGGTCAGGATGGTCAGTAATAAATTTTTAAAAATCCAGCCACTGCAGCACCAGTTAGCCTGCTATCAATTTCTTGTTAACTTATTTAAATGCTAATATATTTATACTAACATTAACAAGTAAATCAGCCCTAAGGCTGTGTACAAAGCTTTTTTGATTATTCCATTCTATAGTTGTCTGTCATGTGCCACTGTCTTCACTCTTGTGTTACAATCTGACCTAGAGAAATCTATCAACTTGTTCTATATGCTTTTCTATTCTGAGCTGTAGTGATATGCTCAAGATACTGTTAATGCTTTTTCTCTCCTGAACTTCTGCCTTTATTTAATAATTTCTGCAGTGATTATTCTGTTTCTCCTGTTAAGGCCTGGTCATCTGCAAGTTTTGTTGTATTTCATTATTCACACTGCTTGTGTCTTTATTTCAGTGCATTTCCTGGGCACAATTCTTGAAATCTTACTGGTTTTATTTTCTTTTAACAATTAAAAGCATTTCTTGTTGAATGTGAAAAGCGTAAAAATTTTCATTAGGATTTTTTTGTAAATGACAATACCAAGTAACTCAAGACACTGAAGATATCTAGTTAATTGGTTGCCCCTGCTTATTTGTACCTTCCCAGTTTTGGTAAACATCTTTAGGTCTTACACGCTGAAGAATGGCCACAATACCACCAAGCACGGCAAAGGACTCTGTATCTGAAAATACTTAAACTACCAATGAGTCGGTGACTTAAAAAAAATGTGTTTACATAGATACAAAGCTACTATTGGGAATAAACTTACTGTTCAGTGTTTATTGGACCTCTCTCATCAATTGGTTCTCCAATGACATTGATGATACGACCAAGAGTTTTTGGTCCCACTGGGATTCTAATTGGCGAACCAATATCTACACATTTCTCACCGCGGACAAGTCCCTCTGTACCATCCATAGCAATGGTTCGGACAACATTGTCACCTGAAAGAACAGGAAATATTTAGCTAGAACAAGCTAGAAACTGTCTCCAATCATAAAAGTGACGACGTTTAAACTTCTGGGGGGAAAATGAATCTGCCTTTGCAAATGTTCAGTCATTATTCTGAATTATATTTATACAGCACAAGTCAATTTGGGCCTGTCTGTTCTCAGATGGAGCTGTGTAGTCAATTTGGGTCTGTCTGTTCTCAGATGGAGCTATGTAACCATTTATTTCTTCAACAGGGCATATTGCCAAGTCATTATATATTTTTGTCATCTCCTGCGAATCCCTGCATCTCCTCCCCATATTATTCATCTGTGTATCTTCGAACGTCTTTAGGTCTCACTGCATTTTTTTTGGTCCGGTGCATTTATTCCAGAGAAGGCTTTCTGGTTATATTTTAACAGGTTTTCTCAATGTGTCCTATCTAATTGAGAGGTGGGGAATGAAGACTGCATACACATTAACCAGATCTGTAGAACAGTTGTGCATGGAAAACTCAGGTTCTAAACAAGACTAAAGTGCAGAAGTGGATAAACAACCAGAACTTTCCTCAAGAGATAACAGCCCGTCAGTACTAAGAAGAAGAAAACTAATGTGAAAACAAGCATCAATCATTATTGCATTCCTATTTTAAACAGAAGACTATGCTCAAAGAATTGAACAAAATCATAATAAATGCATAACAGAGGTCTGACACCAGGAATACACATGGGATTTAAGATCACATGTTAACTATAAAATTCCTACTAAGAGTTATGATGTAAAAGGTCAAAGTTATGATTCAATTACAAAAATTTCAAAGACCTCAAAATTGCCATGGACACAGCTGAGGGCAGTACTAAAAAAAAGTGGCACTAAACAGTATTCTTTGCAGAACAAATTTGATTTTAAATACATACCAAGGTGAGATGCAACCTCAAGAATCAACCTTGGTGAGCGATTCTGGACTTCCAGGGCATTGAGGATGGAGGGCAGTTCATCATCAAACTGTACATCTACAACTGCTCCAATAACAGCAACAACTCGTCCTGGAGTTACAGCAGATTTGGGTTTTGCAGCTTCCTTGGCATAACTGCGATCTTGGAGAAAAAAAAGAAGCTAAAACTTCCTGTCCTGAGGCGAGATGCGCGTACATTAGAACGCGCCATTGCTGATCACGTGTTGCCCGGATCGAGAATTGTGACTGACGCTTGGTGAGGCTACAGCAACGTTGGGAAATTAAAACATGGCATTTACAATCACGCTATAGTAGTGCAGGGTACTAATTTCGTCGACAGTGCAGACATTGAGGTCCACACACAAACCATTGAGGGGCTATGGATGCTGCCAAAACGAAGACTTCGCTAGCAATCGGGGACAAGCCGCACCCTGTTCGCATCTTATTTGGCGGAGTTGCAGTGGCGGCACAGCCAGAAAGAACAGATATTCAGGCACTATTTGCAACTTCTGTGCCACAATTTTCACAAATAAAGGATTTTATTATTGGTAAGTAGTAGACTCACCCCTTTCCCTCATACTTTTCGTTTTTTTGGGAAGCATGATGTAATGAGGCTCTGTTAGGGTTAATTTTTTGCGTAGATAATTTAAGACCGTTGTTCGGAGGATAGCCAAATAATCTATAATAAACATTCTCTATAATAGTAGATAATTTTCGATCACATTAATGTAAACAATGAAACCTGTATTGCTGACATTAGCCACTTGTTCTCTATGGTAAACCAAGCTTCCGCACTTCTGTAGTGCATCACTGCACTTTATTCTATGAACTATAACATTTACATTCATAAGGACTGGGATTTAATTAATGATCAGATGAACCACTGTCCATCATGCTTGAGATTATCTATTGGACTTTGTGTTGACAATATGCTTGGGCAGTACTGCAGATTGTTGTAGCCTGTTCTTTTTTAAGGCACTCAAGCTGACGAGGGGCCTGCACACTGGTTTCTACTTATTTTGCAAACTAGCGACTACAGTGTTCGGAAATTGGTGGTCTTTTTGGCAATTTCCGTTACCACGGAAATCGAAACTTGTTTGGGAAATGTCGGCTGAGGTTTCGGGATGGGTCCTAATCTCTCATGAAATTTTCACCAGCTATAAATAGCTGAAAACGCCGGGAACGAACCCGATTAACAGCACATGTCTACGACAGCCGGACGTCCTCTGTTATTCTGTTACAATCAGTTTGATTGAAAATAGCGGTAAGTATTCAAGGTTGGCTTTAGGCTTTAACTTTAACATTACTTGCACATGGTAATGCTAGTTATAATTGAATTCTCCGTCCAATTTTACATTTGCATATAAAATTTCTTTCCTAGGTATGGCTAATTCGATTTACAGTGAAATTTTTCAGGCAATCGCTTTTATGTGGCTGTGTCTGAGAAAAATTGTCTGCTATCTTGTCCAATGTAAACAATGCCAAAACGACAGTGCGCAGTTTGGTTGCGCAGAGAAAACTTCTTGTTTTTGGGACGCAAGTTTTAGCAGCTGTTTTTACATGTCGTGAAATGATAGCCATTACGCATCGGTCTGTAAGGCTGATAACCTGTCTTACCTGTAATCTGCACAAAATTCAAACTTGGACTCGCCCAGAAATATATAGTCCCTTATATCTATATATATAGGCCTGTATTGGACAACATTATTATGTCTGCCTTTTCTGGTTACTTTAACTAAACTCCACTTTTAAATGTATATCTCTTGGAGATATATTTAGGGAGTTATTTGAGGTTTCTTGGAAACCGATTTACTCCTTGCCCCAGTATACAAGGAACTTCTTTTGTACCAACGTCTGAAGTGTCTAAGTGACGCTATTCTCCTTGCCAGCTTCTCAAGCGTCCAGATGTGTTAATCTGTGCCTGTATAACTTTCACTTTTCAAGGCAATCTGGAAATGTCTCAGTTTTTACATATGCTTGGGTAAGTTAATTATAGTTTACGAGTACCTAGAATGATGTCTGTAAAGTAGTCACTGCTGTAGATAAATCAGTATCGGCTGTGTGATTCCACTTAGTTCGACCGTTCTTGATCGCTAGAGAAGCGGATTCGAACGTAGATCTTCCACTGTACAGACTAAATAGCTTATGCCCTCAATAAACCACCCATACTATAAAACTTAATACCCTTACAATTATGTACGTTTTAAACTAACTAAAAAATCTGTACATACGAAATGGGGACAGAATTGGGTCAGGGCTGTGTTAAAGTATGTGTGTGTTTGACCCAGATCAATGAGTGCTGGGGCGGTTGGGAAAGCTAGTGAATGCAGGTACTGACAGTAAATATTGGTGTCTGTGTGCAGAGTGAGGGGGAGAGGGAGAGTGATATATGTGTTAGACCACTTTATCTATCTCCACTGTATATCTGACTTGCCTTCTCTTGCACTAAACAGACAGATAAATATAGGAGACATGTCTTTTGGTCTGGAGAGGCAATCTGAGGAATGAAACAGGAGAGCAGGGAGGAGTCAGCAGATGGGGGTTGATGACTGATGCTTGCTCTGTCTTTCCTGTCAAGATGTTACCCTCTTGGTGATGACTAATGTTGAGTTATTTTCTTGACAGGATGTATATTTTCTGAAGAGCTGGCAGAAGATTCACAGTCCAACCAACATCCACCAACCATCAAACCACCAGAAACAACTTGTTACCCACCAGCTAACACCTGTGAAGGTTCCTGACATCTCCAACCTGGGGGAGATGGTACCTCAAACAGCTACCAGTACTAGAGCTTAATGTGGCTCAAAGACATTGTGTGTCCTTACTGGTGATAGAGACTTGCTAAATACCGGTACAGTTGCGTGTCCTACATAGTGAAGTACTCTTACTACTTGATCCAGCGGAGCAGAATTCCCAGAGTCAAAGACAGTCGAATCATCCGGAGCTGAGGGAGGCATCATAGACAGAGAGAAGAGAAGATAAGTCTGATGCTTCGCATAATGTTGTGTTCCTCACAGCTCCTTGTGTCATCTCCAAGACCTTCTGTCTGTGTAGTATCTTTGTGATTTGGACATGATATCCTGAGATCTGGCATTTGTCTCACTTTTATATATCTAATTTATATTGATTACATACCTTCATTTTCATGGCTGACTTAGGTGTCTCTATTTCACCTTTTTAAGTGTTTAGCAGTTGTGTATGTATGTGTATCTTCATTATATGTGTTAACATGGTTATGATAATGAACTATCATAACCTGGGGGCTTTCTTTAGTAAGTAGTGGGGGTGTCCAGCCAAGTGTGCCTAGAAATGTATATATATATATACTGACATATTTTGTAGTGCCAATATTTGAGTTGCCCTACTCCAGAGATAAGTTGATCGTATATTGGCCACGGGGAATCCCTTAGACCAATACGAGCCAAACGACTCAACATAATTATCTCTGAGTGCTGTTGGTTCTGTAGCGACTACGGATGCGCCCCCGTCACGTGACCTCCGAATAACGATGACGTCACCGATCTAGCAAAAATTTGCGTACGGAAAACATCGGCGGGATTCGGGGTGCCCTAAATTCTTTTGAAAAGCACGCCAAATCACGGGGTTTCCCTAGCTATAAATAGCCCGAACGTCAGATGTTACAATCAGTGAGACAGCACATGGTGAGTGGAGTTTGTGGTTGGCGGTCTGTTTTCGTTGTTCTCTTGTGAATATATAGCTACGTTCACCATATCAGTATAAAGCTTTAAGATAGATTGCATAAATTTACTAGTGATAATTAGATTCATCAGCCATTTATATATTAGTGTGTAAAATTTCATAACTCTAAATGATTGGTAGAATTCACAGTGCAGTTTAGAAGTTCAATTGAAAGTCCAATTCTAGTGGCATGCCATCCTCCATTTTGAATAAATCGATAATCCTCTTAATAGTCACCAGACTCTACCCAGCTAAAGTGCATATTTAATTACTTTTTCGTACATTATGTCACATTTTAACAACACTGTTTGAAGCCTTTTAGTATTTTAAATGGAAGTTTGGTATTATTTATTGATGTGGTTGGTTTTTTCATAGGGGCGCCAATAACTAGTGTGAACTAGTATTTTGAAAAATTTCATTTATTTATTTGATTTATATTACGGTTATATGCTGACTTGCAGAACTATTGTAGTTATTTTTGAAATCTCTATCCATTTTAACAATTCTCTGGAAAATTGCACCTCTTATAATGGTTGGAGCGATTTCTAAATTGCGATTTTAATAAGATGTGTGTTAAAAAACGAATGCGTGGTCAGTCTGCCAAAAGCACGTTGCCATAGCAACAGTGCCACGCTTCATAATTCATTACTTTAACTATAATAAACATTTGCTAAAAAGTACCTGTTTCTCTACTCTCTCTTAACAGTTTTCAGTTAGTATTACAAACATTTAGAATTATTAGAGTGGAAATTATTTATATTTAAATTGTTTTAATTAATAATCAATTAATTTGTGTTTATTCTAATAATATTATAAATTATAAAAATAAAATTAATACAATACAATACAGTTCAATACTCAAATACTGTATTTTTTCTTTACTAATTAGACTCACTGATCTCTTATATATCTGTAATTACATTATTTTTTATACACACACATTATATATAATATATATATATATATAAAAACAGGAAATATCATTTTCAATCATTGTCATTGCCACAACATAACTAAACATAACGAATAATTTTTTGTTGTTGCACAGATCACTGTCTCACAATGGAAAATAAAACCGCTAGCGATATGAGAGCGCATCTGGCAAGCTTTGAACCTGAGTATCCGATCAAGAAGGGCTACATAACAAGGTTACTCATAAATGACAAACTTTCTGTTTCTGATATTTGCAAAAGAATAAAGGAAATAGTGCAAATGGCAGAGCCAGACATGCGCATACATGAGCAGCGAGCAACAAGAGCTATTTATCATTTAAAGAACATAGCCAAAAAAAAAAATATGCTATACAGTTCAATGGGAAGATTTTGTAAAGGTGAACCAAGAGCCATTTGGGTTATCATTTCATGATGATACAGCAGGAGCAGTTGATTTATTAGTTGTAACTTCCACAGCACTCATGCAACAAGACCATACAAACACACTGTT